GCTGAGGCCCCTCTTGCAGTTTAGCATAAACTTGTGCTGCCACTTGGAGCCCTACACTGCCCTGCCCACTGGCCTCCTCTGCACTCTGTCTGGCCAAGTCCATCCCCTCACTCCTGCCTGGTGGCCCTACATCCTGATGTTTGCATTTCCAAAACCCCACTCCTTCTGCTCCCCACCTTGCACCACCCAGGCTCAGGCAGCAGCTCCTGAGTACAGGCCTCAGCCACCAGAGTTCCCTTCCCAGGGCCCCCAGCCTGGCCTGCACCCCTGGGCCAAGTGAATGAAGGGTTGGACTTGTCCCTTTGGATGCCCACTCCTGTCCAGGTGTAGAGCTGAGCAAGTCCTATGTATGGATACTTTCCTTGTTACCCATCCAGGGATGGCCCTGACAGAGCTCTGCACTTCCTGTGTAGGCATCAGCTTTGATTTCTCTGTAGGAGTCTCCTCGTAGAAATGCCTCTGTGCTCCTTAGTCTGTGACCTGCCCTTTCAGTGACCAGTGGCTCTACCCTGACTCCCTGCTGGCTCCCTGAAGGGAGAGCTGGCCTCTGTAGGGTCAGGAGGGTGCTGGAGACCTAGCTGAGCCCAGAAAAAGAGAAACCTAGGCTCTGAGATTTCCTTGGTTACTGCTTTACATTTTCTACATAGGGCTAGAAAATGCGTGTAGTTTCTAAAGAAAGCAGACGCCTGGGAGACAAGCAGGAGCCAGGTCCACCTGCATGGTATGTTCTTGCTCTGAGAGGCTCCCTGGCCTGGCTCCCCTAGAGGGATTCTTGGAATGGATTTTCCAGTACACTTCTGCAGACCTTTGCAGACGTTTCTTGGTTTGCACAGAAACGCTGCAGGAAACGTGAAGCGGGTTACAGGGATGGAAAGTTGGAGCTCTTTGTTGAGGTCACTTCCTCCCCCTGCAGAAGCGTTTGCAGGACTCTCAGGGGCCTCCCCAAATTCCTCAGACACCTGGCCTAGTTCTGGAAGCCCAGCCCCCACCCCAGCAGTGCTGAATGAAAGCTGTCAGCTGGGCCTGCTTCATAACCCCCTGACCAGCCATCCATGATCAGGGCCTGGATGAAGCACAGAAAACTACCGAGCAGCCAGAAAATGGCAGCTTAGCACCGAAGCAGAGCTGAGAGGAATCTAGCTGTCTGAGGAGCCCAGGCCTCTGTGATGGGGGCTGCATCCAACCCTCCACCCACAAGGGCTGAGAGCTCAGGGATACACACACAGCTCAGGTAAGACCGCAGAGGGCAACTGCAGCCTGAAGTGGGACCACGGAAACCACGTGGGCTGGAAAAACCCAGCAGAAGTTGAGCACGAAATGGTGAGAAGGGACAGTGCAGAAGGACAGGTGGCGTGTAAGCTTATTTTTGACCTGATTTTGGCCAAGTAGGGCAGACACATCAGATCATGATGAATCAGGGTCTGTTTTCTGGGCTGAAAAGTCTAGAAGTGGCTTCTCCTGGCTAGCCACCAGCTAATGCCCTTCATTCTCTGGCTCCAGCCAGTGGGGGCCCACTGTAGGGCCCCCACATGGGAACCCTCCTCATACATCAGCTGAGGGTGACAGTAGGGACTCAGTGAACACATGCTTGGCCCTGATGCCCTTCTCCTAGGTCTGTGAAACCCCCGGAGATGCAGAGTTTGTCTACTTCACCCCTACCATGGGGTCACAGCATGAGGGGCAGTGGGGACAACAAAAGGGAGGCTGAGAGAATGGAGGTAGACTGGACACCTGTGTAAATGCCTTGTGTCTTTACTGAAATGACCACCAGGGTTTCAGTCCACATAGTGTTCCAGCATTCACATGTAGTGAAGGCCAAAGCTTTGGTGTCCCAGATATCTGGGGCTGGGGTCTCTAGAAGCAGTAAGTAATGGGCTCTATGGCCGCGGTTCCTGAACCCCACAGACTCGCCAGGCAAAGCCTACCCATGGTTATGGGACCGGGGCCAGAGGAGGCTGTTTTAGGTGTGGGACCAAAATAAGCTTATACTCAACCTGTCCTTCTGCACTGTCCCTTCCCACCATTTGGTGTTCAACTTCTGCTGGGTTTTTTCCAGCCCACACGGTTTCTGTGGTCCCACTGCACGCTGTTTTAGGTGTCAGTGTTGTCTCCACCCTCTCATCAGCAAGTTGGGAAGTAGTCAGTGTTTTCAGCCACACAGATTAGATTATCCTGGAGGTCAGGCACAAAGTTCCCACTGCTTGTTAATATGGAAGTAAGGGAAAGAGGCTGACTGTACCACATACAAGGTCCCGGAACCACAGGAGGAGCCACAGGTTGGGGAGGGACAAGAGTCATGGGCCAACAGTGTGTCTGCCTGGGCCCTCCCACTGCAAGTTGTTGATCATACAGGGTTTTTAGAGGAAGTGCGATGGCATCCAGAGTTGTGGGGTGGGGTGGGTGGAGAGTAAAGCAGCAAAGCAAATGGGGCTGGACACAGGCCAAGGTCTTGTACTTTTGGTTTTGCACATACCTGGAGGGTGCGATGACCTTTGTTTGTTCGTTTCCTGATGTTCTGACATAGTCATCCTTGCTGTGTGTGGTTTTTAATTTTTGCCCCATCGCTGCTGGTTTACTTGTCCTTGCTCAGCCTCCTGCCTCACTGCCACAGGGCTCTGCCCTGTGTCCCCTCCCAGGTCTCAAACTCAAGGCTTTTGTCTCCAGGAGCACAAAGGACCTGAGTCAGCAAGGGCAGGCCATGTGGGAGGCTCCTTGTAGGTGGGTCTGGGACCTGGAAAGTCGAGGGCCAGAAGCTCAGATAGAAGTACTGTGACTGAGGTTCCCTACACGGGGCAGAGGTGACTGGGGGGCTTGGGACTGCCGAGGTAGGCACTGTGAGCAAAGGCAGCTATGAGCTGGAGTGGGATCTTTGCACTGTGCCAGGGGAATGCCCCAGCTTTTAGAGGTTTGCCTGTGGTCAGTCCTCTTCTCTGTCAACAGATGCCTCTCGAAGCCCCTGAACATATCCCGATGGCTGGAGTGGCCATCCACAGTCTCAGCCTACTGGCCATCCCATTGAGATATAATTAGCATGTCCCACAATTCACACATTGAAAGAGTCCAATTCATTGGTTTTCAGTCTATTCACAGACCTGTTCAGCCCTTACCTTGGTCAGTTTCAGGATTAAGGAAGCTCTGTGTCCTGAGGATCACTCCTCTGCCACCCTGTAGAGCCCCTGCAGTCTTTAATCCACTTTCTGTCGCTGACAGTCTCCTTACTTTAGCTTTGATATGAATGGAATCATGAAGTATGTCGTTTTTTCTGTCTGGTTTTTCTCACATCATGTTTGCAAGGTTCATTTATGTTGGCACCAGTACTTCATTCCTCTTTATGACCAAGCAGAACTCCACTGTATACCCTTTGTTTATCCCTTCATCCACTGGTGGGCATTTGGGTTGGTTTGCCTCTCATCTAACAACATGGTATAAAATTCATATACAGGGTTCTGTGTAGATATGCTTCCCTTTTTTTTGGACAAATACCTTTGAGCGGAGTGACTGGGTCAGATAGCCACTCTGCTTAGTCATTTGAGGATCTGCCAGATAGTTTTTCAGGGCCATTTTACATTCGCACCAGCAGTGCTTCAAAATTCCAGCTTTTCCATCTTCTTCCCAGGGCTTATTGTCTGACTTCTTGATTCTACTACTAGGTGTGAAAAGATCCTCATGGTGATTTTATGTGCATTTCCCTCATTACTAGTGATATCAATCATCCTTTCATTCTTTATTGGCCATTTGTAGATCTTTTAAAGCTTTTTTCTTCTTCAAGGAGTGTTGTACTGCTGAGCTACTGAGCAGCATCCTAGCTTGTGGGGTTTTTTTGTTTGTTTTTTGTGACACTAAGGATTGAACCCAGGGCCTTTGCAATGAATTACATTTTCAGTTATTTTCTTACTTTGTATTTTGAGACAGGGTTTTGCTAAATACTGAGGCTGAGCTCAAACTTGCAGCCCTCCTGCCTCCACTTTGAGAGCCCTGGGATTACAGGCATACCTCACCATGTTATTTCAACTTCATTTTCAAATTGTTTATTTAAGAATGCTATAGAAAGAATTATTTTTGGGCCAGGGATATAGCTCAGTGGCATAGCTCCTGCCTGGCAAGTGCATGCATGGTCCTGAGTACTATTCCCAATACCGCCAAAAAAAAAAAAAAAGTGACAAGAGCAGGCATGGTTGTCTCATCCCTGATCTTAGTGTAAACATCCAGTCTCCATCTGTGTGAGTCAGTTATGGGATTCTGTGGGTCCCCTTCGGAGGAAGTTTCTAGCTTGTTGAGTGTGTCATGAAAAAATGTTGGATTTTGTCAAAATCTGTGGTTTTTTTTAGTTTTTATGATGATTATAATGTATTATATTAATGGATTTTCACATACTAAACTAGCTTCCCTGGATAAACCCAACTCAGTCATGGACTCTAATTCTTTTGCTGCTATATTCAGCTTGTTAATATTTTGTTTAGGCTTCATACATCAGTATACATAAGAGATATTGGTCTGTGGTTTTCTTATGACAACTTTTTCTTTTAAATCTGGGTAAATACTGGCCCAGTAGAGTGGGCTGGGACTCCAGTGTACTGTGGCTGTTTGTGGAGACTTATTAGCCTTCTGTTGGCAGAGTTCAGCAAGCCATTTGGTTCCAGACTTTCCTGTGCGTAGTTTGTCAATTGCTGATTCATCTTTTCACTTGTCTTAGCTCTATCAGATGGTCAGTTTCAACCAATTAAATGGAAAAAAACAAAACAAAACCTTTTTCATTGTTAGTGCGTGTTGATAATACAAAGTGGTGAGGTTCATTTCGTTAAGTTAGTGCATGCACTTACTATATTGAGATCTCTATCCCTTTACCCGCCGTTTCCACCCGTGCTTCTGATCCCCCTCGGTATCCAAGTCTATCGTCTAATTTCCTGTTGTCTCTTATCTGTTTGGTTACTCATACAAGAGAAAACATGCGGACATAACTTTCAGAGTCTGGCTTATTTCACTTAACATGGTATCTGTAGTTCCATCTTTAAAAAAAACAAACACAGGAATCGGACCTTTTCAACTGGATTCCTTCCCATCCCCCCCCCCCGCCCTTCCCCTGGAGGGGCGGCTCTGTCCCAACCACGTGTCCCCTCTCCTCTCCAGGGCGAGTGCTCCACCAAGTGCCACAGCCTCTTCGTGCTGGAGACAGTGTGTGTGGCTTGGTTCTCCTTTGAGTTCCTGCTGCGCTCGCTGCAGGCCGAAAGTAAGTGCGCTTTCCTGCGGACGCCCCTCAACATCATCGACATCCTGGCCATCCTGCCCTTCTACGTCTCCCTGCTCGTGGGCCTGGCGGCGGGGCCGGCGGGGAGCAAGCTCCTGGAGCGCGCGGGGCTGGTACTGCGCCTGCTGCGCGCGCTGCGCGTGCTCTACGTCATGCGCCTGGCGCGCCACTCGCTGGGGCTGCGCTCGCTGGGCCTCACCGTGCGCCGCTGCGCACGCGAGTTCGGGCTGCTGCTGCTCTTCCTCTGCGTCGCCATGGCACTCTTCGCGCCGCTCGTGCATCTAGCCGAGCGCGAGCTGGGCGCACGCCGCGACTTCTCCAGCGTGCCGGCCAGCTACTGGTGGGCCGTCATTTCCATGACCACCGTGGGCTACGGAGACATGGTGCCGCGCAGCCTGCCCGGACAAGTGGTGGCACTGAGCAGCATCCTGAGCGGCATCCTGCTCATGGCCTTCCCGGTCACCTCCATTTTCCACACTTTCTCGCGCTCCTATTCCGAACTCAAGGAGCAGCAGCAGCGCGCCGCCTGCCCAGAGCCAGCCGGGGGCGAGGACAGCACGCGCGAGGACAGCACGCACTCGGCCACCGCCACCGACAGCGCGCCAGACCCCGAGGGGGCGGACTCTGCTGGGGGCGTGTGGTCGCCCTGAGTGCGCTTGGGGACCCCAGGGCCTCATGGCAGGAAAGCGAGCTCTTCTGACTTCAGAAAGCCACAAGCTTGTGGTGTAATTTCTCACCTTGGACCTCTGACACCAGCTCCTCGGGTGACACGGCCTCCTCTAGGGTGGCAAAGCTCAAGCTTTGCATGTGGGCATTTGAACCAAGCCCTTTCCCTGTCCTCCCAGCTGGTCTGTGGAACCATAGCTCATCCCCTGGAACACCGCATCTCCTCTACTGGAACATCTCGGACTTGCTGCCTCCCCTCTCAAGGCCTGGCTGCAGGCTTAGGTTAGAGGAGAGATGGATGGGTCTCCTCCAGGTGGCTCCTCAGGCTGGAGTGAGGCGCGGGGGGAGTCCTCCCGAAAATGAGCCTTTCTCTTCTCCGGACAGGAAGAATGGAACTTTACAAATCATGCTGCTCTGTACTCCATTTTAATGAGGTCTATCACACCTGAGCTACTGAAAGCCTTAGAACGCACCACCTGGGGGGGGTCCCACTGTCTGCGGGGCACCCTTCCTACCCTACTGCTTGGTAGCTTCTGGCCGGGCTCCAGGTGTGGGGGGAAGCCCACGTTGGGCCCTTGCAGCTGCAGACACTCCTGAGATTCCACGGCAACCCAATAAAAAAAAAATGCTGGCCTCTCCTGCACAGCTCGTGGCTGAATTCCTCTGGGGCACTGTAACCTGCGGTCCCTGGGGTCCTGACTGCAAGGTTCCAGGGATCAGAGAGGGGTTTTCCTCTGATGGGGAAGTCAGCAGATGCATACGGCTGGAGTAACCACAATGCACCTGACCTTGCCAGCATCCCTAGCTCAAAGCTTAGGTATGGAGACGCTCGGTCCGCAGCAATGAGCCAGGTTCTCTGATGACCACACAGCAAACCCAGCCTCACCCCAAGGCAGGGCTGGGTGATCTAAGAGTGCCAGGCAGGGTTGGGCTTTCCATGCTGCCCCACATTCTGGTAGGTGGCACTGGGCTGGGCCTCAGCTCCCCATCCTTGTCCCCAGCAGTGCATTGGCGTGCAGTTACCGGGCTTCATCCATTTCATCTGTGAGTCAAGGTATAGGGCCAAGAGCCCTAGGATGCAAGTTACCTGGGGAAACAAGTAACTTGGTCGTGCCAGTGACCAAGCAGCATACTTCCTGGGCCATGCAAGGTGGCCAACAAGAATGAGAGAACCAACTCTCCCACATGGCTATTTTTCAGAGTACCCCACTTTCTTTACACAAGCTCCTTAGGGTGGAAAAGATACCCTTATTTCAGACTTGAGGGTAGGTGTCCAACACGGCCCAGCCAGGTATGGCACCCTGGGCTGAAACCTGCCCACCCAGTCAGTGACCCTGACCTGGGAACCACCATCACTAAGCATCTGGTTCCTGTACCCCCTGGGGCAAAGTCCCTTCTCCTCTGTACTGGGCCACACACCAGGGTCAAGGCCAGTATGAAAAATTCAGGGACCTATTAAGTCTACCTAAGAGCCAGAGCTTCCTCTAAAAGGGCTGGAGTCACAGACACCCAAGGGGTCCTATGCTTATGGCTACCTCCTCCTGACATGTGCCCTACACAGAAGTGGGGGCTCCACAACATGTTGTAGGAAGCCCTCAGTGACGGCTCTGAGGCTTGACAGCAGGCCAGGTGACATCACTAAAGACACTATCAACCTCCTGCATTAGGCCTGAGTTCAGGGTGGCCTTCTGATACTCATCTTCCAAAGACAAGATAATTCCTCCTGTGCAGGGGGCACTGACCTGCACCATGAACATCCCTTGGATTAAACCCAGGTTGTCTCTCAGAGGCCAGGTAAGTGATGGGGAGTGACCAATGGGATCTGTAATGAGTCTGGCCAGCACCCAGGAGCCCCCATGATGAGGGAATGAGAGTGCGAGGCCACCCTGTGTCACTAGATAGGAGGGGGTGTCAGCCATCCCTGCTGGGAACAGTGGGGTGGGGACAGACACATATCTTGTTAAGGCAGCAGACAGCCCAACTGATAGGCTCCTTAATCCTCTGAAGACACTAGGGGAACCACCCTCCCACACAGAAAAGGCAGAGGGCTGGGGCCAGGGCAGGTCTGCTTCCTGTCTGATTTTAGGGGACACAAACCCTCCAGATTCCCACCAGCCCACCCCCTCACACTTGAATTAAATCCTCACAGGAAACACCTGCTGTGGGACTCTGGCAAGACATACAGTACACTAGCTGCTTCCTGGGTACATCTGTTCAAAGTGACTGAAGTCGTTCAGGACAGCAGTCATGTGACTGAGCTAAAAAAAAAAAAAAAAAAAAAAAAAAAAAAAAAGCAGCTATTTTTACAACCCCTCCACTGGAAGCTGGTCTGAGATCCATTGCTGGCCCCTGTATATGATGCTGAGGATGGCTGCCTCTGACCACCAGACTGTGGCAACATAGTCAGAATGCTGGGGCCATATGAACAGAGAACAGACCACAGTGCCTGTGAGGTGGGGCAGAGTGTGGCTTCTCTCTAACTCAGATGGCCAGTGATCCCCCAAAGCCTCCCGGCTCCACATCCCTGGATGTACACAGTCCTGTCCACCACCGCAGGGCTTGGACTCACATGGTACTGGCTGTCTTCCTTGAGGTGAGTAACTTGTGTCCAGAAACTCCGGAACCTGCTGGCTTAATCACCAAACACTCATGACCAGACCTGAGCCAGGTCCCTAGTACCTCAACAGGCTTGGCCTTTCAACCCTGACCCCACCCTAAGTCCCACCCTGCCAGGCTGGATCTGAGTCTATTCCCAAGCCACAGTGGATCTACAAGCAGTTTATTGTCTCAAAAGCTGCCACATGGGGTACATTCATTCTGCAGCCTGCAAATCAGTGACATTTTAATTCAGAGGGAATTACCACTAGACACATCTCCCTTCAATTTAAAAAATGCACATTTTCAAAGTATCTTTATGAGCCAAAGAGCTAAGTAACAGCCTCACTCAAACATTCAAGAGTTCTGAGGGAAACTCAAAAGGTGGAGACAGCACTGATGGTTTCCCTCCAACCATATTAAGTTACACAGTAGCTATGGCAGAGCTTTGCTGCTGACAGCAGACAGCAGAGACCTGTGCACCGGAAGCAGCCCTCCTGCCTAGCAGAAGGGCAGATGCCATCTGTAGGAGCCACACAGAAGCATCTGGAACTCTAGGCCCAGAAACGGCCAGGTCAGCACAGGATGCTGAGAATGGCATCACCTCAGGTTAAACTGAAGAGGGCAAAATACAGCAACGTGTCAGGCCAGCAGTGTCCACCTCCAAACACTGCAGACTCATAGCTTGGCACAATAGGTGGACAGAGTATGAGGATGGCGCTGCCTGCAGCTGGGATCCCTACCCACTGTCCTGGGAGCCGAAGGCCCTCTTCTTCCAGGCTTATCCAGAAAGGCTATACTGTGAGCTGGGCCAAGGTCACTGAGCACTTAGCCCCATTAGGTGGCTGCAAACCTGCTTCGGGGTCAGGCCAGTGTTTTCAAAGAGGACATAAGGAAGGTACTCGCTTTGTCCACCTCCTTAAAAATACCTGAGGGACAGCCCTGGGTGTGAGATCCACTCTCACCATACCTACGGTGGTAAGCATGAATGCTGGCCCCAGCCCACCTGCCCTGAGTGCCTCACCCAGAGGCTGATGGAGAGCCTGCACCCACATGGCCATTCTCCTGTATGGACAACAGGACCCCTCCCCAACACACGGAGCTCAGGTGCTGGTCAGTGCCCCAGGCTGGCAGTCACACGTCCTTGTACTCCTTGAACACCTCACAGGGCCTTGGCACTGGCGGGGTGTGCTGTGTGGGGCACTAGCTTCTGGGGGTGATGGGCGAAGACATAGGCCTGCCCCAGGATAGCCAGGTCCACCAGCACCTGTAGCAGGCCACAGACCGAGAACTGCAAGGGTGCGCCATTGAGCAGGAAGTAGGCTGTCTTGAACGTGTCACCACTTGTCCACATGAGTACCATCTTGAGGCTGCAAACACACAAGAGGATGGTCAGTAGTGAATCAGGAGGATGGGACACATAAGGAGGTCAGCAGTACCAGAAGGTCAGCAGTAACCAGGAGGTCAGCAGCATGACTCACGAGCACAGAGGACATATTGTGGCTGCTGAGAGTAAACTGAGTATTGCAAAGCTGGACAACTAGCAGGGAATGAGACAGCCTCCTGGCAAAGACAGCTGTCCATACCGAGCACCTGCCAGAGGCAACTGTAAAGCACCAAGAAATAGCCACCACAGTGGCACACGCCTATAGTTCCAGCCCTCTGGGAGGCTGAGGCAGAAAGATTCCAAATTCTAACCCAGCCTGGGTAATTTAGCAACTTAGCAAGACCTTGTCTCCAAAACAAAAAAAAAGTGGCTGGGGATGTGTGCCAAAGGCCTGGCTTCAATCCCTATACTGCAAATAAACAACAAGAGGGGTCCTGGTAACTCTGTTGGCAGAGAGGCTGGGTAATTCTCCCAGTATTACATCACACAGTAAGCAGGTGTGGGAGCCTATGGATTTAACTCCAGAGCCTGGAAGGGACAGGGTTCAGGGTAACAGGAAGGGCAGCTGCAGCCCTGGCCCCAGGACCACCTGTCCCTGCCCTAGGCAATCTTCCTGGGCCCCTTGCTATGGGTGACCCCACAGTCCTGAGTGCACAAGCCACTGTCTCCCACAACACGGGAGACAAGAGGTCATTGCTGACACAGAGTGTTATCCAGTGCCTGGGGTATTTTTAGCTGCCCAGATGCTCAGCTTGCCTGTGCGCTTCAGGCAGGACATCTCGTGAGTGATCACACTGCTGTCCCCTGGGACAGGAATGTAACCACTGTTGCTGAGGCTCTGCCATCAGCACACAATGTGAGGGGTGGGCAGGGGAAGAGGGGTAGCAGGTCAGGTGCTGGGGCCCATCCTGCCTAGCTGATTCTCTCTATAGGCACTATACCCGCACTCAAGTACTGCATGGACTCAAGAGCGTTCAGTTCTGCCTGATGGAATTTTCAGTGTGTTACTTCCCCTGAGACAGTAAGTTACCATTCTTCCCCACACTGCGTTTTCCATCATCCTTCAGCCTCAATAGGATCTGCAAAGACCAAGTCCTAGAAGTTCTACCCAATGGCTTCCTAAGGCACCCTGAGCCCGGCCTTGGCCAATTAGTTGTGACTCACACTCCTTCAAATCCCTCCATCCTTGGACAGAAGAAACTATGGTTCTAACTGGGGAGATACCCACAGTGCAGGAAGCCTACCCTTGGGGCACAGAGCCTGGTAGGTGCAGCCAGCACAGGTGGGAGGGCGACTGTCACTCGGGGTCCTAGGTTTTCTACTTCTAGCTTATTCAGGGGGCTGGTGGCCTGGGAGCAGTTATGGTCCTCTTTTCAGTCCCCAGCTGTGTGTGGCTATTGCCCTCTTCAGTACCCCTTGACCTGACACCCCCACTCCCCACCGGCTCAATTTGGGATCTCATTATCTCACCCTTGATTCTAGTGTTCTTCCTCCAAACTGGAATGTTAGGTCACTGTTCCTAAAATACATCTCACCTCATTCTTGCCTGCACAGCCGTAAGGAATGCCTTTCTTCATGCCAGGAAGATGAGAACCACCTCCTGCACCTGCTCAGCCTGCCTTCCACACAGGCATGCTGACCCATCTCACCCCCAGCCGTGACAAGGGGCATGACAAGCTCTTCCACCACAAGAGCCCCCCAGCACTGAGGAGGGTTTCTGAAGTGTCCAGAAAAGAAACAGGAGAGACAAAATGGATTAGTGGTGGGCTTGGGGTGGTGGTGGCAGGAGACTGGGACAAATGGAGAATGACGGCAGATGAGAAGGGTTTCAAACTTCTGGTTAGACTGGTGGATGCACACACTGTATGCACACCAGGGTCATTAAATGGTCCACCTCTGGTAATTTATGGCATGGGAATTACATCCCAATAGAGTTATATTTTTTTTTAAATGTCCCAGGGCTTTTTGTTGAACTCTTTATTTCAGTCCTCCAGTTCCGGTGGATGGGCCAACTAGCCTGTGTTCCAGAGCTTGCATAATCACACATGTGCTACACAGCACCTTCCACTCACAGGTCTGTCTGCCTCTGATAAGAGAGAAAAACAGATACTCTGCTTCCCAAAAGGCTGTGAACCCAAGGGGCCTGCACAGGACAGGTGAGGTGCAGACCAGCTCCTGGATGCAACATGCAATGGCATGAGGGGCAAAATCCCAGACAACCACAGTGGCTAGAGTGGTCCTGGAAGAACACACAGATATAGTGTGAAGTCTGGTTACCACAGCCACAAAGGGCAGCCTGAGCCTCAGCCCCCAATTCAATGCCTTGGGCATACCTCCACCCCGCTCACCCACCCTGTCTTCCTACGTCCTCTACCATTTACTCACAACCATAGCCCTGCACCAGGGTATCTGCCCCCGTCAATCCACAACATCTCTGCCTCCAAGTTCTGCATTTCTGATGTCTTTCTTCCCTGGCACAGTCCTTCCCTGTTCTTCAATAATAATGAGTGCCAATCTGGAGGCTGCTGAGTGCTCAGCCTCCTCTTATCTTTTGCACCCACCCTCGCACTCCAATAATTACTTGTTAGGGAACAGTCTTCAAATCTAGTAAAACCTGGAGGAAGAAGAATGCAAACATCCCCACAGAATTTGTCTTTCAGGGTTTGCTGCACTAATTAGTAAAGTTATTTCAAAAGCTTCATCATTTCTTCTTGCTGGTTCTAAAATCACAACCACTTCCTATTTTTTAAAAGACAAACTATTATTCGTAAGTATCTCTGGCAGTTACTCTAAGGTAAAAAAAGGTTGTGTATGCATGTATGGGAAGGTGTGTGTTAAATGTGCATCTGCTGTGTAGTTCTAGGTGCATGCCTGTATGTGCATGTGTGAATGTGCACACTCATTTGTACAGGTGCCTGTGTGCCTGTTTGCATGTGGGGGCACACATATGCATGCATATGTGTATAAGCATCTATTATAGGTATAGATCTAAGTGTAAGCCTATAGGTACAGGCATGTAAATGTATGTATATCCACTTGTACATGCATGTACAATGTGTGCCTAGGGGGTATGTTCATGTCCATGAGTGTATGCAGGGAGGCACATGTATGTGCATGTATGCATGTATCTGTGTGTATGGGTCTAAGTGCATGCCTGTTTGCACACACCTGTGTGTAGGCATGGATGTACACTCATTTATACACACACGTGCCTATGTGGGGGACACGTATGTATACATGAGTATGTGCAGAGAGGGCATATAAATGTACGTGCATGTATGCATATGTGTGGGGATCTAGATGCACACTGCTTTCCACACCTGTGTGTAGGTGTACATATTGATCTGTGCACATGGGTCCATTAAGGTAGACTTTTCTGAAAGGAGATGTTACCAGGCTACTCAAATAAGGCAACTCAAGAATTACAAGTTTGTCTCTGGTTTTAAGCATCCTAATGACTTTCTGTTTAAGGTGTGGTTGCAACTGAGGTCCTGACACAGACTCCAGGGCACCAAACCTTCCCAGTCAAGGGCAGAGGTGCTAGTCGGTTTGTGGAGAAGAGACAAAATCTTCAGTCATGTTATCCCTTGCCACCAAACTCCTGGTTTTTATGCATCTAAAAGCACTTATACCTCTGTAGATGTTTTAGATACATCATTTTAAATCTAATCCTGGAAGTAATGATACTTTATGAAACTCATTTTCAGATACCACAGACCACAATGGCTTCAAGAGTCACAAATCCCATCAGATGTGTGGGTATCACAACGCTCCAACTGGAGAAAATCAGGCTGTACAAGAACCTGAGAACTTCCAGCCACATTTCCTGATGGGCCATCCAACAAGCATCTGGGAGGTGCATGGACAGCACACGCCTGAGCTTGAGCAGAATCTGGAATGGGGCAGGGCAGCACATAAGCCCAACAGGGACAGACGTGTGGATCCCACTCAGAGCCTACAAGGAGCCAACCTAGCAAGAAAGACCTTTCTGAGACCACAGAAAACCCACAGCACCAGCATAAGCCCTGGAGCAGTGGGAACAGGCAAGCACCCAACACAGCCCAGTACCTGCCCCAAAGAAGCCTCCCCAGTAGGCAGCTCCGGGTCTGCACAACAATCCCTTTCCAGCTCCGCACTGCCTTCTCCACTGTGCCTTAGCCCTCAGCTCAAAAAAGAGCTAAGAGGTCTGTGGCATCCAATGGTGGGGTTGCGAAACACATCTCAGACCTGAAGAAAAGCTGCCAGGCGTCCAGAACTCACCCATGGGTGATGCTAAAACCTCGGCAAGAACTGAGGTGGAAGCAGCACCCAAGCAACAGCAGCTGTGGTCTTAGTGTCCCCATATCAGGGAGGGAAGGTCCCTCTCTTATCTGAGCTCTAGGGCCTACATCCAGGAGCCAACTTGGACCCTGCCTCAGTCTCGACATTTGTGTCCCTCCAACATTCACGCTGAAACTGAACCCCTAGGCCACAGTAGCAAGAGCTGTCCTTCCCTCCCACCGAGCCTCTGGACTGTTCATGTGTACAGCAAGGACTGACCTAATACCTGTGCTTGAACTTACATCCTAAAAAAGGCCTGTCCTTTCTGCCTCCAGCTACTCAGATTTTGGGAGGATTCCCACATTCTCTACCAGACAAAGGCAGCCCTTGTGTAAACCATGTGGCCTCCTCAGAACATATGCTTTCCTGAGTCAGAATGCTGGCCCATGGGGCGGGCCCTTTGAGTGGGCTTCACTGGGCAGAGTATACACTCCATCCTGCATGCTCCTAGCGAGGGAGATCATTCTGAGAGATCCTCACCAGCAGGGAAGGGATTCAGTCTCATACCCTCCCCGTGGGCCTGCCGTACTTCCACATGTGAGTAGAAGGCCAAGTACAGTGGACCATCTAGGAATCTCCCAGCATGGGGCACCCAGGGAACCCCACACAAACCAACAGGAATCGGTTCTTCAGTGAGCACTAGGGTACTGAGCTAAGTAACAGGCTGGTCTACTTCCTCCCCTTCAACAGTTGATCTGCTTTTAGCAAAACTATTTTCCTCCAGTGTCTCCAATGAACCTGTGTTGGCTATGTGCCAGATACGGTCTTCGAAGCTTGTTCCTGCCCAGAACAGGCAGTGCTACTTTAGCCTCGTCCTGACTGCACTTACACCCACCTCCACCTAACTCGTTAGCAGCTGCGAGGCCAAGCTGGTGCCACTGGGGCAGTGCAGAGGCAATGGCACCCATAGGAGGGTCGCCAGGCCTGCTCTACCCATTGTCTTGTGGGTACCTGCCACATACAGCCACCCCGGCACTCTGCTCCTCAGTCTCAATCACAATGGGCCTACAGGAGCCCCTAAGAGGGCATCATCACTTCAGCATAGGGATCCCCCCCACCCCACATGAACATGCTCATTCAGACAAGAGGCCAAAGGACTGATGTGTCCACCTGTTTGACACCCCTCTATCTATAGGTACTCGGACAGTGTCACAGTGCTGTGGAAGCTTCCACACTGGCACCCCTACCTCATGCCCTCTGTAGAGCGGTGGTGGTAGTTGCGATACAGCTGCGGCACACCCAGCATGGCCTCCGTCAGCACTGCCAGAAAGCCCAGCATCTCCACAAACACGGCCGAGTCGATGGACAAGTAGGTGATGTAGCCCGCCACACCAGTGAAGGCCAGGACACACTGCACATAGTCAGTGAAGCTGCTCCAGTGCCAGAAGTGGTGCAGATCAAAGTCTAGGGAGAGAGGAAGAGAGCCACCTCAGCTAGGAAAGCAGGTTGAGGTTCAGGCAAAGACAGGTAAGGATGAGGAATGCACAGGTCACATCAGTGTGGGCAGGGAGAGGAAACAAGAGACCAGCTGTTATGGGTGGGATCCAAGATATCCTCCAGAAGGCCCACTGTGCTGGAGACTTGATGACCAGCTGATGGGCTTTGGGAAGTAACTGGACCATGAGGGCTCTAACTTCACCGAGTGGATTAATCCACTGATGAGTAATTTCACTAGCTGAACAGGCTTACTGGGAGGGGGGGCCTAACTGGTGATGCAGGTCACCGGTGGAAGATAGCTCTGAAGGATGTACTCTTGTCCCCTGCCCCTCTCCAGCCTTTTCCCTCATTCCATTTCTGGCTGCCATGAGGTGAGCACCTTTCCTCGCTCACCCCCCATGTTGTGACTCCACACTGCAGCCAGGAGACCATGGACGAAACCTTTGAAAGCATGAAACAAAACAAATCTTTTCCTCCTGTAAGTGGTTTTTCACAGGCATTTTGTCACAGCAAAATAAAGCTAACTAACCAGCAAGAACGGTCGAGGTCAGTGTGAGAGGGTCAAGGTCAATGCAGAGAGATGAAAATTGGTATGGAGACAGATGAACTATGTGACAAGTCAAGGTCAGGGTAAGAAGGTCAAGATCAGGGGGGGGGATTAAGGTTAGGGTGAGGAGAGATAAGAGGTTACGGCTGGTGCAAGATGTGAAGTCATGGTTAAGATGGGGAGATATGAGCAGGCCAAGGACACTATGGGAGAAGTGAGCTGCACATGCTCCAGATCAAGGTCCTTCTTTCTCATGGAGTCTTGTACAGTTACCAACATAAAAGTTGCTAATTCTTGTAACTTTATTTTAAGCATCCTAGGAAAGACTGCACTGCAGCTCACAGAGTCCAATTCCTGGGTCAGAACTGTAGCTCTGCCATGTGTGCACCCAGCCTATGAGGACCCCATGGACACCATTATTACTGAACACTCAAGTCTATGGCCCTACCACCCTGAACATGCCCAATCTTGTGTGAACACTCAGTCACCAGAACAGCATCACTTGGAAGCTGGGGATACAGCTCAGGGGCACAGCACCTGCCTGGCAAGCACAAGGTCCTGAGTTTGATTCCTGGTACAAAACACAAACACACACACACACACACACACACACACACACACACACACAGAACAACATCACTTGCTTCATGATATATTGTGGAAACCACATTCATAAACACACACAAATTAGTGAATTAAATGACACTTTGACAGATGAACACAGTATTTTGTGCATATCACACACTAGTCAACCTGGAAGTCTACTATATACTCCATTTTCCAGGCTCAGAGGCTATGAAGGATCTGCTGCAATTTGAAGCCACCAGTTCTTACTACAGCCCAGGCCCAGGTGGAATTCCACGGCCAGCACTGCCTTCCTAGAGCTGGTGTTCCTGTCCTACCTGAGCCTCAGGCTCACTACCAATGTAATGATGAAAATCTGAGACAGCTCAAGCCAACAACAGAGTCAAAGTTCTGCAAGAACTGAGGATGACAGGTATATGTCACCTGCACACAGCCCTCAAGGCCCGTATACTGTGTCAGGATTCAGTTAGTCTTCATGCAGAGCCTCTGGCACACCCAACACTCATGCTGAACCATGCTGAGCTCCAATATGTGTTTACCAGGCCTATCAGCAGCACATCCTGCACTTGTGACCAGGGTCCCACAAGTCAGGGGTGAGGGAAGCCCCTCAGCAGGATCACAAGGACCTGGACAATGGATGTCTCCTGAGCAGTCAATTGTCCAACAGGCAGAGAGCAAGCTTGAAAGGACTGATAAAGGTTGGACACAGTGTCCGGGATTTACCACATGCTAATGGGAAGGCCAAAAGAAGGTCTGGAAAAACATTTAAGTTTTAATAATCTACAAAATATGTATCACTTAAACTTCTGAGAGTTGCGCAAATATGCCTTTTGAATCTGCATGATTTGCAACAATAAAGACAACCCAATTTAAAAGTTAGGCAAAGACTCGGGATAGTTCTCCAACGCGGAGAGGCACATGAAACGATGCTCAGCACGAGCAGTCTCAAGAGAAGTGCAAGCTCGCCACACTCACAGGACAACAGGCTGAGTTCAGGGAGCTGCTCCAAAGCTTCTGTGAAGGAGAGGAACCATGCAGTGCCGTGCAGACCCAAGTAAAGTCACAGGCAATTTTAAAACAAATTTCAGCTGGAACTTCTTGGGTCCCCACCTCATTGACTCTGAGGCCCCTTCCTCACAAAGGGAGCTGATCCTAATCAGGTTTCAGGGGTCAGGCCCCGGACATTAGCAACACAAGCACATGCAAGAAATATATGCCAACATGGGGGACATAGGAAATCTCCATCTCCCTTCCAGATTACCAAACCCCTGATCCTATAAAAATAACCCCCAATGTTCTAAAGGAGCATTTGTTCTCCACCTAAAGGGGGGTATCTTGTTATAGCTAAACTATACCTCCACAGAGGTGATCTTAAAAAGATAAAACACAGAATCCATTCCTAACCTCAGTGTAAACTCTTTCACTTTCAAATCATGACCATCACTATTCAAAGAAAAAGGCAGCTGATCACAGCTCCAAAGTGCATCCCTGAGCAGTTGTAGGGGCACCTTTGGTGTCCACGTGCTTGAGGCATGGTATGCCACTGAATGTCAAGGCCTCAAGGAAGGGCTTTGCCAGGATGTGGAGGTGGCGACCTGCAGGTAGGAGTTCATCATCCTAACCTTGTTCCTCACCTCTGCGGTTCTGCAATGCTTCCTAGATGTCAGAAGTCTACAGGACCTCTGTGTCTCTGCATAGGGGCTCTTACGGAGGCAAGAGGGCTGGGGGTTGTGGCGGGGGACAGGTCCAGCCACTGTAGGGGGCTTCTACACAGGCCACAGCTCTGTGGTCCACTGTGTGTAACAGTGTGACCAGAAAAGCAATTAGCAGTCACTTCTGGTTAACGGAGGCACTTCTGTGCCTCTTGGTACTACATTCCGTCCCAATGGGTAGAATGACAGAGACTCTGGGCCCACTAACCATCAGGAGCAGAAACACATTAAGGCAGGATTTTCTGACCCTCACAGGCCAATTTCTGCAACTCATCCTTTGGGCAGTGAAGAAGGTGTAGGAGGGAGAACCCATTAATGACAGCACAGACGCAGCTCCAACTTCTGTAAACTACAGTCAATTCCTGAGTCCTGCAGCACCCTCGTGTGGCTCGTCTGTGGCAGTTCAGGAAGCCCTGCTTCCTTACTAAGACAGGCACTCTCCTCAGCCTCATGCCTGTAGTAGCTTCATGGTATCTAGGACAGTAACAGCTGCTGGAAAGCAAGCCCCTAGGTCAAACAGGATGGGATGGAGGTCTCTACACCAGGCCTCTGCCAGGGCACAGCCTCACCTTCCTCATCATGACAGGGCACAACCACCCTTGAGAAGTGTGTTCTCAGTCATGTGGCAGTCCTGTCTCAGGTCAGAAGAAGCTCAGGGGTATACCACAGCCTGGGTGGTTCCCAAGCTTCCAGCCAGCAGGTGCCCAAAATTGAGGTGGGAAACGACCAGGAAAAGGTGACTCACAGCATGAAGTGGGGCCAAGTATAGCCCGGGCTGTGGTGGGAGATGGAGTCCGATCAGAAAAGAGCCGGATCAGGAGAGCATACTCTGATGACGGTGTGGAAACAATACAACATAATGGCCCTCAGCTCCACTGGCAGGTTAAGGTTCCTTTTAAGGAAAGCATGCTCCTCTCTGCATCTCCAAAATATCCAGTGTCCCTACTGCAGACCCACAGGACAGCCTCTCCCATAGCTGGTATGGTGACCCACATCCTTGGTGGCACAGCCACAACCATCTCTGGATGCTGGGGACTCAAGACAGTGGAAGCCCAGCAAGCCACTGGGAGCCCTCATCTTAATACATGAACTGAGGGTGCATCGAGGAGGAATTCATGACAGTTGTGATGAACCTTGACCACTGGGTCCACTCCCGAGAGTCACATGGAACAAAATCCCCATGTGAGACTGCTCTACGGAGCAGCTCCTCCCATCCACGGGAGAATGAGCCATAGGACCTAACTCCTACAGGGAGTAGCCCAGATCCACTCTGTGGTGACAGCGACAACCCGCCTGAGCGTACAGGTGTGAGGGGCATTGGGCCATCACCAGATGTGTACCTGCACGGTCCAGCGGGGCCTGGCTCCCCAACAGGTGCCCCATTCTGGGCACAGCAACAGCGGAAGAGGACTCACAGTCCTCCTTTTGTATTTTTAAACCAAGCAGGAAGAGACAGGTCATGGAACACTTGTAGGCCTCTTGGGTAGACATCTTGGGTAGACAATTAGGATGCAGAGCAAGAAGAGTGTGGCTCTGTGCAAAAGACAGATCCCAGCAGCATCAAAAGATGGCTCCAGTCAGGAAAGAACAGAGCAAGAGCAAAGCCAGCTTTGCTTTCCCACACAGACATGCTGCCATCCCCAAGTCCAAAGTGACAGCAGGGAGGTTTCAATGAATAGGAATAACGTAAATGTGTTCCACACCTCCAAACCCCAAGACCCATTCAGACAGCTCTGATGAGAGCAGGGACCTAGGGTCTAGCAGCACATGGCACCAAGCATCCAAGTGAGGCTCATCTGGGTGGAGAGCACCCACACTGACTTCGTACAAAGAGGAAAGATCCCTGACAACAGTGTCTAGGATGACATACTAAAATGACATTTCAGGGAGCTAGGGATTTAGCTCAGCGGCACAGCGCCTGCCCAGCAAGCGCAAGGTTGTGAGTTTGATCCCCAGTACTGGAAAAAAAAAAAAAAAAAAAAAAAAAAAAAAAAAAAAATTAAAAAATGAAATGACATTTCATTAAAAAGCATAAATGTTAACTTTGCCTATTTTTCACTTTATTCCTTTTTTGAGATAGGTCTTGCTAAGTTGCCCTAGCTGGTTTTGAACCTGCAATCCTC